GACATGTTGCAAACATTGATCAGTATCTGTATTGACATCAACATTGCATTACATTGGTAACTATTATATCTACTGATCAATGCTGAACATCGATCAGAATTGATCAGTTGATCAGTAGAAAGGACACTGATAAAGACAGATGCATAAAAACTAGATGTTTGGTCATCATTGATCATTCAGGGCTGGAACATTTCTTTGACCTCCAAGAATGTACAGCGGCAGGGATGTCTCTCTCAAAGTCCAGCAGTAATCGGCCATCATGACTGCATCCCACCATTCCTGGCGCCTGGTCTCCATCTCCTTCATGTCTTGATGAAATTTCTCCCCTTGCTCGTCGCTCATTGACCTCAGATTCTCAGGAAACCGATTCATATGTGTGAATAGGTAGTGCATTTTGATGCTCTTGTTGCATCCCAGGTTTCTGAAGGCAGTCAGCATTTTGGTGACGAGTTCTGAGTAGTTGCTGGCCTTGTTGTTGCCAAGGAAGTTGTTAATACCAGAACAAATGCTTTCCACGCTTCCAGTTCGACTTCATTCACTGAGTTTTCAAACTCTGGATCTCTGATGAGCTGACGTAGTTGAGGTCCGTCAAAGATGCCAGCTTTCAATTTCTCCATGGTCACTCCTGGAAAAGCATGGCACGAGTGAGGGAAGCAGCCACCATCCTTGTCCAGAGCTTTGGTGAACTGCTTCATCAAGCCAAGCTTAATGTGCAGGGGTGGGAAGAGTATCCTGTCTCTGTCCACCAGAGGTGTGTTGATGACGTTCTTTGATCTGCTAGGCTCCCGCAGGGACCACTCCTTTTTTCGTGTAATGCTGAGCTCGGTCCCTACTATCCCACATGCACAGAAAGCACGGGTACTTGGTGAAACCGGACTGCTGTCCCAACAAAAAGTTCACCGCTTCATACTTCTCCTTCAGTTTAGTCGAGTGAGCCAGGGGTATAGAGGCAAACTGGTTACCGTTGTGCACCAGAACGGCTTTCAGCGATCTCTTGCTGCTGTCTATAAACAGTTTCCATTCTTCAGGTTGGTACTGTGGCAATCCAAGATTGTACAGAAGCTGTGAAACATCTGTAGAGTACACCAAGTCTTTCTCTTCAAAGAAAAAACGAAAGTATTCTTGATGCCACAAAAATGCTAATACCCTTATGTATGAACAACAACATTAAAAACAATAATTGGCAATAGAACACAAATTTGACCTTATTGAGCAAAATCAATGTTATTTTTGGAATCAGCGCATCAAATTGTCTAAAATCAGTTTAAAAATTATCGACGATTTTTTTTGCTGTTGACCAGTGTTGTTATTATCACTATTATCATAATTATCATTATGACAATTGTTGTAATTATTTTAGTGTTAGAAATATTGATAGTATCTAGATTAGTAATAGAAGATAATCATTATCGCTGTTATTATTTTTATTATTATCAATATTATCTTTGTTGTCATTGTTATCATCATCTTTTTGTCACTGTTATCATTATCTTTGTCGTCATTGTTATCAATATCTTTGTTGTCATTGTTATCATTATCTTTGCCGTCACTGTTATCATTATCTTTGTTGTCATTGTTACCATTATCTTTGTCGTCATTGTTATCATTATCTTTGTTGTCATTGTTATTATTATATTTTTTGCTGTTGCTGTTGATGATCATATCAGTGAGAATAATAACAACAGAACATGATATGGCAATAGTGATAATTATAATTATAATAATAGTAATGATAATATTGATGTTAATAATATTGATGACCATATTATGGTGACGATAACGATATTAACAATAATGATATTAATAATTCTTATCATACATCAACGATAATGATTATGATGATGGCAATAATGATAAAGATGATTATAATAATAATAATAATGATAATAATAATAATAACAACAATAATAAATAGATAATAATAATAATAATAATAACGATGATAATAATGATAATAATGACAATTATTATAAGAATAACAATAATGATAAGGATAAGGATAATAATGATGTTAGTAATGATAATGAAAATAAAAATAAGAATAGTAACAATGTTAATGATAATAATAATAATGAAATAATGGTTACAATAATGATCATAATAATTTTAAAAACTACAACAAAAATAATAATAATAATAATGATAAAAGTAATAATAATAATTATCATTGATAATAATGATGATAATAATAATATTAATAATGATATTAATGCTAATAATAATAATAATTATCATTATCATATTATTTTTGTTATTATTTTATCCTTATTATTATTATGATCATTATGATAATAATGATGATGATAATGATAATAATAACAATCATAATAATATTATTAATGATAATGATAATAATGATAATAAAAATAAAAATAATAATAATAATAATAATGATAATAATAATAACAATAATGTTAATGATGATGATGATGATGATGTTAATAATAATGATAATAATGATAATGATAATAATAATAATAATAATTATAATAATAATAAT